AGATGCCCCAAAGGGAAAATACTCATCTGCAAGTCTCGTCTTTCAAAACTGTCTGCATTCTTTCAATCAAAGAAAAACGTTTTTTGAGAAAGATGACTTGTGAAATCTGTGAACAAAGCTGGCTTTATAAGGATACTGAATGAAAGACAACATGCCTTACAATGGACACTTATCTTGAAGGGGTGACACTGTGCTCCTGAAGTAAAACACAGGCACTGTAAAAACACTGATCCTGAACAAGAATAAGGATTATAGAAACTGCATCAGAATGTTTGTTAGTCCCAGAAGAGTCAGAAAATGCCATTTTTTGCAGATATTTGCCACTTGCTTCATACTGTGTCTCATGATTTTTTGGGGGCCATTTGATAATCACATTGTGAGCCATATGAAGTCTTATTCGTACAGATACCTCATAAATAGCTACCATTTTGTGAATGACAGCCTGTCTATCAACAGGGATAACTTGGACAGAGTATCAAGCTACCAATACTTGATCAACCACAGAGAGAAATGTCAACAGCAGGATGTCCTTCTCCTGTTGTTTGTGAAGACTTCTCCTGAAAACCGCCATCGGAGGGATGCAATTAGACAAACTTGGGGTAATGAGAAGTATGTTCGTTCTCAACTTAATGCCAACATTAAAACTCTTTTTGCTTTAGGACGACCAACAAATCATCTGCTGCAAAGAGAACTTCAGCTGGAAGACCAGAAATACAGTGATTTGATTCAGCAAGACTTCTTGGATACTTTTCACAATCTTACTCTTAAATTGCTTTTGCAGTTTAGCTGGGTGAATGCCTACTGTCCCCATGCCAGGTTCATTATGTCTGCAGATGATGACATATTTATCCATATGCCAAATCTTGTTGCTTATCTCCAAAGTCTAGCACAAATGGGTGTTCAAGATCTCTGGATTGGTCGTGTCCATCGCGGATCCCCTCCCGTAAGAGACAAGAGTAGCAAATACTATGTTCCATATGAAATGTACCAGTGGCCCTCTTATCCTGACTACACAGCAGGAGCTGCATATGTAATATCAAATGATGTAGCAGCTAAAGTATATGAGGCTTCATTGACTCTCAATACAAGTCTTTATATAGATGATGTTTTCATGGGTCTCTGTGCCAATAAAATGGGAATTGTACCACAATATCACGTATTTTTTTCTGGGGAAGGAAAGGCTCCATATCATCCCTGCATTTATAACAAAATGATGACATCTCATGGACACGTAGATGATCTTCACAAGCTCTGGAAGCAGGCTACAGATCCCAAAGTTAAAAAGTTTTCTTCAGGGATTTGGGGTAGAATATACTGCAGACTAGTCAATATTGTGCTTCTCTGTAAACTATACTATGAGGACACATATCCCTGTTCAGCTGCATTTTCTTAATACTTGAATATCTGTATATCTGTGTTGAAGATCCACTGAGCCAAAACAGAGCAAGAACTTTTTAGCTGTTTATTCAAAATATATGTAAACATAGAAAGAGGTAAAACTTAAATGTGAGTAGTTGGGGGTGGGAGGGAAAAATGGTCCCAAATTCTGTTCAGAAACTCTTATTGGAATAGCTCTCCTATTGTACTGCAATGTTTTACATTGTAGCCTGGTTTGTTTTTGTGGGTGTTTGTTTTTTTTTTTTTTACAATCTTCAAGGGATGCAAATCTGGATTAAATGAACTATAATGGACTTGACTTCTAGACTTTGAAATGCTTGGTGATAACGTCTGTTACTTTGAGCTTGTCAGTAAGTCTTTAAGTTTTTCTTAAAGCTATGTGGACTAAGGTACATGATTAAAAAAATCTGCTATATCAAAATGGAGTAGATCTTTCAAAACATCAGGAAAATAGAACTTCTGACTTGATGAATGAGACTATTGTAGTAGTTTAAGGCAATGTAAATTGGTTACAAAAATTCACCATTTCGCAGTGTTTCATAGACGGTAAATCTGGACCTGTGCAATTGACAAACAGTGAGTGCTAGAAGTGAAGACCTGCTACAGTATTTTTCTCAAAGCTCCCTACATCTTTGAAACGGGCAAACAGTGTTTGAGTGCCCTCTGACTCAGTTGTTTTAAGTAACAAAGGAGCTCCTTTAGATCAGGACTGAACTTGAAAGGGTAAAAATCGGATATTACTCATGTAACTGGTTTTGCTAATCTTCTGTCTTATGAAAACTGAAGCAGTATATTTAAACAGTCCAAGCTTTACTAAGCAAATAAGCTAAATGTGTTTTCTTTTAACAATACTTCTGCTTTCCTATATTCATGGTTCTAAAGTTAAAAAGCAAGCAAAAATCCCCAAGAATGTTTCTTATAGCTAATTTGAAGCTGTTGAAAGACTTTAAAAAGCAAAATTACATGCTTGTACTAACAAAGAGGGAGGGTATTTTCTGCACAAAGTTTTGACTTCACAGTGAAGGGATAGGGAGATGGTAATCCACAGAAACTCAGTACACAAATCAAAATCACTTAAATATTTCTCCTGAAGTCTTAAGCACAAGATTGTCTTTAAAATTTCAGGGTAGTTTATGTCCACAAAACCCTGTATCTTGAATCTATTTCAATGTTAGTATCACTTGCAAGAGGAACAAAACACCTGGGCATTGTATATCAGGATAGAACTAAGTGATGCTCAAACTCCAGCCATTAGGAGTTGTACTGTGGTGCCATATAAATATTGCAGAGAACCAAAGTTCTAGGATGTCTGCAGTGTTCTTGTCTAGCTCGCTAATGGTGTTTTCACAGACTCTCAGGAAAGATATTTTAGTTGCTAATTGCCAAACCTGTGGTAGCTCGTTCTGGAGTGGGGACACAGCCCATTCAAGGTACAGTCAGTTACTGCTTATAAACGGATTTCATGCTGGAACAAATTCTAGTGTGGATAGTGTCAGAAAACTTCTGAAAGCTTGAATGAGTCAGGCTTTTCAGCAGAGCAATTACAATGCAAAAGCTCACAAATTATCAAGCATTTGTTGGAAATGTGCTAATTATAGGAGCAAGACTACTTGCTTTCTAAGACTAGCCTTTTTCTTTTGCCTGAAGTTTCTTGTTGTGTGGAGCAGTGAGGTACTTGATCTGTGTCTTCTGACTTTACTGTAGAACACTTATACAGGACTTGACTTGGGCAGTTTTAAGGTGCAGGTGGTAAACTTTGTTTAAATAATTGCTACTGCTCTTGGAGCTCTGCTGCAGGTTTTAGTGGTTTGAATGGCTAATGGTATATGTTAGCTTAGACAGAACCCAGGAGTGAGTGAGCTTGCTGACTGTACTCTTAAGCTGCCATTTCAGATGGATGGTAGGTAGCTACTGGAATTAGGTGAAATATGTAACTTTCTATAATTGGTTTTCCAGAAGGAAAAGAATAAGAATCCTAACTGGACCCAAATGTTGGATATATAAAGAGCCCACAAGTCATTTATCAGTGTCAGAATGATTGATGAATGTTACAGCTATACTCTAGGCAAGAACAGGAATGGGATTTGGTCTTTTTAAACAGATTGATTACAGTACTGAGGATGTATGTTTAAAGAAAAAAACCAAAACACAAGACAACCCTAGATCTATATAACCTGCTGGCTTATAGAGGAATGAATGTATGTATAGAGAAAGCAGTACTCTCTACTGAAGGAAAGCTGCTTCATCAGATCTCTGACCTGTGTGAGCCATTTAAATCAACAAGCTGCACAGCAAAACTGCACTACTAGAAAAAGCCACCCTGTTCACTGTAGGAACAGTATGCAACTGAAATGTGTTATTAAGACTACAGTTTTTTTCCAACATAACTGTGTGTTGGGTTTTATTGTTTTCACTCATACAAGCAAAGGTAAAGTAAGTTTTAAGTAGCTTAAACTTCTATAGGGTAACGACCTAGCAAACATCTAAAACACTGCTTAAATGTATTTTGCCATTATCTGAAAGTCACTTTTGACCATTGAAGTACTTTGTTTTACAGCTGGTTTGAGTTTTGTTTGGATTGTTTCTTAATCTTAAAAGGGCCTTGATGTTTGTAGTATGCGTTTTCTTTTGTTGCAGTGAAAAGAAGTTGCTTGTTGAATAAAAAGGAAAGCATGAAGGCGCTCCTTTCAAAAAATGGAGAAGCTAGAAAACTTATTTTCTGGTTCGAAACTCTGACTTAAGATTTGTACACCTTTATCTGGAACCTTTCTTAACAGTAGTCTTGGTGCTCCAATGCAGGGCTGTCAGGTTTTACTTCCACAAATAAAACTGTATCAGCCTGAATGGTCACTCCTCATTATGAGTTTGACATTGTTGCACAGCATATTTAATGCTAAAATTGTTTTTACCTGTTTGTTTGGTTTGCATCAGTTTCCCTTTGATATTACTAATTTTTATACGAAGTATTCAATATTTATTCTTAAACTTTTGCTCTGTACCACAAAAAAATTGTTTTGTAAAATTTGTTTTGAATAAACAGACTTATTTCTTTTTAAAAAAAAAAACCAAAACAACACAACAAAGGTGATACATATCTCTTGTTGCTTTTTTTGTAACTGACAGGCTTGGCTCTGATGTTTTTAAACACTATTCTGAATCCCCTCTTATGAGAAGACTTCAAACTGCTTCCCCCACTTCCCTTACGACCTTTCTATTCTACCTTTTTATGGAACAAAAGGCAAAATTGGTGTTCCCAATGAAAGGAGGCAGTTCAAAAATCTGATTACTAAGAAAGGAGGCAGTTCAAAAATCTGATTACTAAGCATCTAGGTCTATCTAGAGTTGTTTAAAACTGCAAAATATTAGAAGCTTAACCTGTTGTTAATATTAACTTCCACATTTGTGTGTTCTCTTAAAGCAATTATTCCCCAAGAGATGCATATCTATAAATTCATTTTATTTCAGATCACACTTTGCACATTTTGAAAATTAGATTATGGTTTGGAGATCAGTGATATAGTATATTACTGTCTATATCACAGAGATCAGGGTATAATTAAATTCAGAGTCATAAGTTGCATTTTTCAATGTGTCTCTTAAGTCTAACCTAATTTACCAAGGCTAATATTTTTAGAAGCGTAGTTTTTTGCACCAAGTAACTTCAGTGTATACCTGTCAGAGAGAGGTATATAACGTAAGTATAAATTATCTAAATCATACTGAAGAAGAGAACAAAGGAAATGACATCTGTGAGGATTGTGGGGTTTGGCTTGTTGCAGGGTGGGGTTTGGTGGTTTTGTGTGTTGTGTGTTTTTTTTTTAATTGCTCCCTTTGGCCTAGAAACAGTGTAGTTCAACGAAATTAAACTGGGTTTGCTTGGTACTTTTTGTTAAACTAAATGACCTAAGTAGTTAGTGTTTTAGAATACATTGTTAATAATCTCTTTCTCAAGACTTTGTAGAAAGACTATTGCTTGTATTTAAAAAAACAAGATTCTCAGAGGCATAGACTGAAATATGAATATCCTGAAAACAATGAGATGATCTTTAATACTGCTTTTTTGTAAATATGTGTGAGGCTTATTCTAGTGACTTATTTTCTCACATCATATAATTAATGCTTCAAAGAAATTGAAAAAAAAAAAAAACAAACAACAAAAAACCCAAGGCCAAGCCCCCAACCTAAAACAAAAGAGAAATCTTGCTTGCTTTTTCAGCTGATAGACTGTGTATAAATGCATAGCTATAAGCATTTCAGTGCCTTGATTACATCTAATTATTTATTAATCTTAGTAAACTTCAAAGAAGATGTAGAAACTGTACTATAAATGGAGTTATTTGTGTTCTAAGAACAAAAAAATTATACTGGTTCGTGTGCAGCCTTACCTTCTCCTTGTTGACAAGTTCTCATCACTTTCACTCATCACCAGGACTCTGCTAGATCCTCCTTGACTAGCTTCATGCATCACTTCAATCTGAATAAAAAGGACACATTAAAAGTGAAAACACTTAATTGCTGATGCTTTTATTTAGAGAACTTTATTCTTTTTTAAAGAGTTAAAACCCAGATCTTACCTAGTCTAGAAATCACTGAGCAAGTTAAAATTATTGAATTCTAGATATGCAGGTTGTAAATCGAGAATACCTTCTCTCCCTATTTTCCCACTTCCTTGCTCAGTATTGGTATGGGAGGCATTCTTGACTCCAGGCAAAGTCTTCATGTTCTTCCACCACAGAAGGTGAATTACCTTCTTGGTTAGATAATTACAGGCATAACAGTCTGTTCCTTAAGATGATGAAATACTTTGTTTGTTTGTTTCCTGACTGAAGCCAACCCAGAGACTTCACATTTTCAGAGTTCTTTGTACAGTGGCATATGGAGAAGCCTAGGGAATCTGTCTTGTGCCTCCGAGAAGTGTCTTTGTACTAGTAGCGGTATTGCATAAGACGGTGTATACCGTCAAATACTGAGCACAGTATGCATGTGCAATGGCTGGGGCTTTTTACATAATATTTTGATAAACATTAACCTATTTCCTTGTCCCGTCTTGCAGAGTTGGATCATTTCAAGTGTGCTCCAGGCAAGTTTTAAGTAGGCTTTTCCTCTGTTTGCCTGCAGCTTTAAAAGTGCCAAGCACTACTTGGGCTTACTCAAAGGCAACCTCTTCAAGTTCAGTATAACAACTTGGCTGCTGAGTTTGCAGTTAATCCAAGCCAATATCTAAACTCCAGTACAATCTTTAAGGTCCCGAGCACTTTCATTTTTAAGGGCTGATTCTGGGGGAAAAAAGCAGTGGCCTGTCTTATATTCTATATAGCTAAACTATTCATCTGGTTGGTGATGATGATTATGGAATCCATTAATAAACTGTCCTTGCCTGAACTATTACCAGAACAAATAAAATACAAACAAAACACAAACAAAAATTTTATAGTAACAATGGGAGGGAAGAAGAGGGGGCATAATTTGCACTGTACTCTTAGAAAGTAGATTTAAAAATGAATGTATGTTTTTAGAAAGCCTATACCATGTTGTTACATATATGTAACTGTGGGAGGAATGCAACTGATTGATTACCTGCATTACTGATGAGAATACCTCTCTGCCATGCTACCCAACTTCTTTTGCTCCTCTTTTCTGAATACTAGCTGTATTATTTCCCTCAATACAGTCAGGGTCCTCTTATTTTTTTTCTTTCTCAAAACATACCTTAAATTGCATTCTTCACCATTCTAATGATGTGCTGCCCCAAAGAGCTAATAATACGAATCTTCATACAGGGAAGATATAAAAAAATTATGGCAAAAGGATGTTACTATTTAAAAGGTTGTGAGCAAATGGCACTGTATGTTTTTATTTTTGTCTTGGTTTTGGTAAATTTGTAACTAAAGGGGATACTGGCAAAGTTACAAAAAATTTCTGCACAGACCATTCAGACTACAACTTCAGTGGTGGTACACCTGTCTCTTTCACAGGTATATTTTCACGGTTTAAACCCAAACATTTTAAGTAAGATAAATGAGGCATTACTTGAATTTGACAGGAAAAAAAATGATGTCTGGTCTCTGACAGCGGCTATTTCAGCTAGCTTGAGCAAATGAAAAGTTTCAGGATGCAGCAACACTTCATCTTAGTTAAAAGAATTGCAGATGAGTTAAGTTTCTGGATCCTTCTGTTTCCAGTCTCAAGGAGGGCCAAATGGCTGTCTTGATAGCTTGTTATCCCAGTCAGCCTCTAAAGCTCAAACAAGAGACTGCTGTAAGGGCAGGGCTCTTAAATGCTGTAAGGCTTGGGAATAGGGAGGAAAGGATAAGGATGTCCAAAGAGTCCTAAACAGAATCTTGCTGCAGAAACAGTAATGCAACAAATCTCATCATAGAGACACAAAAGTAAAGTACATTTCCCTGAACCTTACTTGCCATGCAGCAACAGGTAACAGTAAAAGTTTTCTTTGTTTTTTTGTTGGTTGGTTTATTTTTAAGTATTAAATGTCTATGTCTAGTCTTTCCTCCTTTGCATAGTAGTAACTACCCTTAGAAAATATTTAAATGAGGAAAAATGTATAACTTCGTTAAAACCCTGAACATAGCACATCTTAACTTCAGAGGAACTGGAATAAGATTCTAGTTTTAGAAACAAAATAACTCATATGCTATAAGGACGGACTGTAATGTATTACTGTTGGATGTTCCCTCCGCATTTCCTCTTTCAAACTTTCAAAGTTATTTCTACTTTAGTGTAACTTGTTTTTCCATGTATTTAAGCATAAATCTCTTTTAACAATCACCTGAGTAACTTTCAAACTGCAATGTGAAGTGTACAAAAAAAAGCTTAGCACAGAATTGACTTGTGCAATTTTTTAATTCCAAGTATAAATACGTAAACCTGTATTTATATTGTTTTGAGTTCTCTCACAATATGGGATGTCCCCAAAACACAGATACTCCTACCTTAATTCCACCTTTAGTCTTCTTAGTGTTTTTCTTTTTTGATAACTCTACTTCAGAAATGGTCTTTGGAGGGCAGGAAATTTCTGTGGATCTCCTGTTGGTAGCTGAAGGAGTCAAAAAGAAAGTAATATTAGAAAATGTATGCTAAAAGTTGGAAATCTTACTTCCTAATAACAGCAGTGAGCAAAGATCCTGTCACATCAGTGGTAACTGTGACCTAGCTTAGAGAACTGAATTGTGGCTGGAGCGGTGAAGGACCAGCTGGCACAAGGAATGGGCTACCTTGTTTGGTGCTCCGCTGTGTCTTGATGTGGCACCTACAGCTCCACGCTGTAATGACTGCTTTGGTTTGCCTTCCTCCCTGGCAACCATCTTTAGGGTAGCTCAGGTAGATGTTAGCAGCTGTATCAACAGTTGGGTAATTGTCACTTGCATAGTTTTTCAGCTTAGTTGTTGTTACTTGTGTGGGTTCCCAAAGAAAGGAAATTTTGGTTCTAGTAATGGTTTGCTAATGTCGCATTATAAAGGATTGTTCCTTTGTAAGGCTTAATCACATGAACAAGTCTCAAAAGAGTAATCATACAGGTGTTCAACAAGTCGCTGTGACTGTGTATGTAATGACAGTGAATCTGAGGAAATTATTTCAGAATATGCTCCATCGTGTCAGGTTTGTTGGGCTTTGCAGGGTCTGTAAACCACAGCTGACAGTGAGTTGTCTAATGCTACTAGAAAACCATCCTTAAACAACATAACCACTATCCTGAGACCGCTATCCAAAGAAAAGGTTTAGAATGAACTATGAGAAGGGGAATCATATATTGGGCTTGAGTAGAAAATAATATCTGTTACAGTTTGTATCTGTCTTCTAAATTTATAATGAGCTCACAGTGCATGTTTTAAAAGTACAAGGCAAACAGTGCTCTCCTTTTTTGTAGTTGCTGAATTGATACAGGCAACCATGCATGTCATGGTAAAAATAAATCTGAATACCAGATGAAATGATGAAAGAATCTGGGTCAGGCAACAAAGAAAAAAATTGTTGCAATCCTGAGATTAAGTCCTTTTCAGTTTTATTCTGGGAAAACTTCCTAACTGAACAAGAACTTTTCCAAAAATAAAAGCTGGTGTTTTCAAATGCATCTGGTAATATTCTGTTTAAATGGTTTCACCAAGTTTAATGTTGAGGCGCTGAGAGCCTTGGTGGTCACTAGTAACTTTTTCTTCTTCTGTGGGAGAAGCTGAGGGATGCAATAAAAAAAGTGGACATATCTTTGAATGGGGAGGACATAGTTTAAAAGATTCATGTAGGAGAGGACTGAACACTTTTTTTAAAAAAAGAAACACATTAAAAATTTTCAAATGCCCTTGCCAGTAAATTCTTTTTTTAAAGTAGTAAAAAAAAAAGGGGGAGGGGGGAGAAAAGCATAGAAACACTCCAAATTATATGCAGTTAAAAAGAAAACTTAGTTTCACAGACAATAACAACAGTAGCTGGCATTTCTTCTACCCTGTGTCTTTTCAACTGCCTTATCATTCAGCTGGGAAGAGAATTAATTAGAGCAGCTTGTCTCCAACTCTTTCCTAAATCTTCCTGGTTTTATCCCATGCTGAATGACATGGGGACTTGGCAATGTCCCTTTCATGCCTGTTACTTCCTCAGAATGACTCCATATTAGAAAGCTTGTTCAATGGAACAGCAGAGTCTGGCAGCCACCAGCAGCTATAATCAACCTGTAGAAGATTCCTATGGTTCCCAGGACTGAGCTGAAACGCAAATGCCGACGCTATTTGGTTTTTCCATCACACTTTCAAAGTAGACAGCAGGGGATTTGTTTTGATTTGAAGCACTACTTTCAACAGATGCCTTTTTCCCATCCCAAAGAAAGCTTTCTGTGAAGTAATAATTGTTCTCTCAAAGATATTATTTCACCCAAAAAGTGTTGTACTGACATTTAGAAACCAAGGGGAAAAAAATAAAAAACAAGATGCAGCAAATATAAGCTATTTGTTCTTATGGTCAAAGTTCTTCATATCTTTCTGATCTGGAGAGAGGATGATTTCTACCACTGGCAAAACCAGAATACCAATCTTCAACTATTTGATAAATTTTCAAACAGGCTCTTTCATGATTTTCCCCATGAATCCCTGAGTAAAATGGTTACAAGCATCAGCAAATTCATTCTTTTCTGTACTAATGCATCCTGAAGATTCTATTTAGCCTTAAATTCTCATCTACTGAGATCTTGACAAGACACAGCCTCTGATCATACCTATCATACTGAACAGTATTCTTTCCCGGAGCTTCTCCCAACTTGAAAAATCAGCATTCAAAAAAATAACTCTAAGGCTTGATCACAAAAATCTTGACTCAAAGAAAACCAAGACATTGTTTCATACTCTTCTCCATGCAATTACCAGGCACTCCTGAATACCCTAGACAGATACGCTGCCAAAATCCAGTTACCCTATCTAAGTCTGCGTTCAGTCCATTGGATTGCTCTACAAAGCTAATTCCCAAGTTTTATATATACTGGATGTGTTATTAAAAGGGATGGAAGCAAAGGAAATAACTTTAGGAAACAGGAGAATTTTTGTTTAGAACAGCAGAGTTAGCAATACCAAGTTGTTTGACCTATTCATTAATCAAAAAACCTACTAGCTTGAAAGGATGGTTGATACTGGTATGAAAATCCTGGCTGAAGGCAGTCATCAGAAAACATGGAAATCAGTTATGACTGATGTCTGGATCACAAATAACTTACTTACAACTTACAAACTCGGACAGCTCCAGGTGATCCAGGAAAGAAAGCACTGGACAGTTTAAGTGAAAGATGACGCATTCACAGAAAGCCCAAGTGCAGATGCTGGTTGATCCAGCAAATTACGCCGGTCAGCTTACTAGCTTAGTCTTGGCTTCATCAGTATGACATTTCAGAAAGGAGGAGGCAGGTACAAGATAAGGAACAGTCCACTCCAACTGCTTATATTTCAAGGGTGAATTTGATTCAGATTGACACAGCAAGCTTTCCCCTTCCAATCTGACCCAGAAATGAATTGAAAACGGAAAGCAATCTGGTTTTGGTTATGCTCCAGAGTATTTTTGGGTTATTGACTGGCCCATATTCAGAGACTGCTACATGTCACTGCACTTAAGTAGCTTCTGGAGTCATTTAGAAAGAAACAGTGCAAATATCTGCTAATTATTATTGCACTAATTACTGTGTAACTGGAAATCTTTTAGAAGGGAAACTGCTTTATGAAATTCAGTACAGTTGGTTGTTTCAAGGTCATTACTGTACTGCTGAGGAAGCTGAAAGCTGTAGTATTCAACTGCCTACTGAAAGAACAAAGGCACAGGAAAAAAGGAAAACTATAAACAATCTAAGGTCTGCATGGTTTCAAGGTTGTTTTCATCCTATTGTTTCACAGTACTCCCCCAGATAATGAGTAATGAAAATTTCATTTTGGACTCATTAATATTTTAAATTACTTGATGCTGCTTTTAAAGCAAACATTGTTAAAGGGCATTGTATGCAGAGGTAAACTTTTTATTGCAAGGATACTTGCAGTAAAGCAGGGTTTAGATCTGTCACTTGCATTCACCTGGAACACCACTGTGCTGCTTCTATGGGGCTTTAGTACTGCTTAAGTTTTTTATGAACACATTGCATGATAAAAATGGAATTACTGTTTTATTACCTAGCAAGTGGTAATGTGGGCTGTACTGTCCCTAAAGCTGCTAGGAAAGGACAAAGACTCATGTGCTCAATGTTGCTTTGCAGTCTCTCCCCCACTCCAGGACTGAAATAAATTCAGTGAGTACCACTTGCTGCTTGTGAGGAAAGGCTGTGGTTTCATCCATTTCCCCACCCTGCTCCTGAATGGCAGGGTACAGGCACCGTCTCTCAGGAGTTCATCTCTCACTCAGGGGGTGAGGCACAAACAGAACTGCATGCACCTCCCAGGTGCTCAGAGGCAGCTGGATTAGTTCATCTGGGGAACTGGCCTCAAATTTGCTCCTGCTGGAGTAAATGTAACTCATTAGCTAGCAAGAGACATGGACTCTGTAGTCAAGGGTTATGACACACACCCAGTACTTGCAAGACATTCAAAGCCCCCCTCAAATAAGTACCATCCTTTACATTCAGGTTTTACATGGATTTCCCAACCACATGCTTCCCCATCTGTTTTGTGGGAGAGTTTGTGCATTCTCACCAATAACCTACAGCAGAATCAACAGTCCTTTCACAAGAACAGGCATGGAAACGACTAGTCTGCTAAACTGGGGCTTGCAGCTCATGCTGTCTCACAGGAACATGACTTTGAAGATAATTAATGACTTAATAGGGATTTTGAATGCTGGTGATGACAAAACAGCATGCTTAGGCAGCTAAAGAAGTACCAGAGCATCTAAGGTTACCATTTAATGACTTAATAAATAAAGTATTTCTCATTCTTAGGCAATATAATCTTCACTACTTTGCTCTAGCAAAATCGCTGTCAAGTCCCCTGAAAACCTGCCCATATAAGAAGCACAGAGCAAGAATAATATTCCACATGTATGTGGAATATTATTCTGCAAGGAGACACACTACTTGGCTTCCTCAGACTTGCCCGAGTGCAATACCAGCCCTACAGCCACAAAATTGAAAGCATCTTTTCCTTTTCTCTACTTCGTTTATAGAAATATCTTGAACTATAGAAACTGGTGGTTTACCAAAACCATTAATGAAAATCACATGCACCATCTTTTCTGAGTCAGCTAATCTCTCTGCAGCCTCGCTTCTCCTGCACATATCCCCAGACTCTTGCAAGACATTCTTCTTTTATCCTCTATCCAGATGTTATTAGTTAGTAAGTGTTATACATTAGTGACTGTCAGGAACGCTGGAATGGATCCAATGAGCAGTCGTACACATTTAACTGAGATGGAACCAGTTTAAATTTTATTATTTAAAGAACTGAAAAGGCTCCAGCTGTGTTCCCCCATATGAATTTCATGCTCCAAGTTGGCCTTCTAAGATGCTTGTAGGGTGAGTCATGGATTTTGTATGTGCAATGTGTTATTAAACGTTATTTGCTTAATGAGCTCACAGAAACTTTG